AAATTTTTCAACCTAGAATTCCAGAGCCCATCAAATTACCATCAAGTGAGAAGTCAGAGAAAGACATATAAACACCCAACAACTTTGCCTTCCATGTACTTTTTCCTGACAGGAGACTTGACATGTACTATAGTAAAATGATGAAGTAAATAAAGAAAAAAGAAGACACAGAATTCAGGAAACAATTGAGTCCAGTGTAACAACAGAATAATAAGCAGAAAGGGCATCAAAAACAGACTAGAGCAGGAAGCTGAAAGGGGAATATACAGCGAGAAAAGAAGTGAATTCAACAGAGTATTTAATTGAATGGAGAATTTGAAGATGACTGCGAGTGTGTGGAAAGCAACCAGTACAAGGTAAAAAGAAAGGCAAGTAGAAACTTCAGTAAAAACAAAAAGCTGATCCCAAAAGGAAATATAAACACAGTAGGCTAAGATCTGCAGTCAACAATATTCACATGGTCATAATAATGTTCATGCTGTTTATTTTCAGCTTTTGAAATCTATCAATAAACAAACCATAAAATCCTAACTGGTTACAGAATAGAATTTAAGAATTATCAGACTTGATAATGTAAGAGACAACAATGTGGAAAAGGGAAAGAGAAAGGAAGGAAGGGTCCCTCCAACATACCACAAAATGGAGAATTGAGATATGGTTTATAGTTAATATAATAAACTAGATATGCAAATATAATAATTTATTTTTATAAAATTCTTGCTCCTTATAGAAATACAGAAATTACTAAAACAAACAAAGAAACAAAATCCCTCTTAGTAACCCATAATCCTATTATCCAGAGTATATGGGTTTGAAGCTAAGCCTGGAATTAACCATCTGTATGGCTGCAAGTCATTTAACCACTTATGATATTTTCTTATTTCCTTTAGGTAATTTATCTATATACTTTTAAATGGTATATAGTATATATAACAGCAACAGTACATGAGAAGTGTATTATATACACAATTTTTAATCCAGATTTTTTCACTTTAAAGCAAAAAGGTAAATCCCTGGATACATAGCATATCATGCACTCGTATACGCATATCAATAAATATACTTCTGAATATGCCTTTGGCCATAAGGCAGTCAGGGGTTTCCCAGAGATGGAACTTGAACCAAATATTAGAAGAAACTAAGCTTACAAAAATAGAAAGGGACTGAGTGGGAAGTAGTGATGAGGTATTATAGGCACTGAGAAAAGTGTGAGCAAAGGCACAGAGGAGAGCAAGCACGTGCCTCTAGGCTGCACTAAAAGGTGCCTGAGAGTGAAGAGATGAGGCTGGAAAGCGATTATGAAGAGCTCAGTAAATCATGTTAGGGATCCTGATATTTTTCCCATAACAAGACATGACAACAGGGCTAGTGGACCAGGTTTGCGTTGGCACTCCAGAATCTAGCATGACGTTCACCACAAAGGGAACACAAAATGTTTTTGTAATGAATGATGCTTAGGAAGGCAGAAATAGCTTCCGGACATTCAATCTGGGTGCCCCAGGTGGTGGGGATAATGTCATTTGATGAGGGAAGGAATCCAGGAGAAAAACAAATTTTAAAGGTTATGCGTCTGGGCAACATTCTTAGCGATTCTGAAACCTAACCTCATTTAAAAAAAAGTCACTGGTGATTATGTAATACATCCCCAGTTTAGATTTTAGGCCCTAGATTTATGTATTGGCTTCAGGAAGCCTGCATAACCTCCAAGTAAGCACAAGATTTAATCTGCAACGTACATTTCTTAGGAGAAGAGGATCCACAATCTTCCCTGGATTTCCAAAGGGGCTGCAACCCCAGAAAGGTTGCAGTGCCTACAATGGATGAGCAAGTGGAGAGGTGACAGATGTAGGAGAGGGACAACTACCTGAGAAAGGGAGGGGATATAGAGCAGATGAACAATTAGCTTTGTCCAAAGTCACCTCTTCCTAAGCCTCAAGGAATTTATGGCTGTGTTTGAGTGTGTAACTTTGTGTGTTAGGGATTGAAGTCTTTCTCCTGTGCTCCCAGAGTACTGTGATTTCACCATCAGTTTTGCATCACTGTGCTCCACTTAATACATATCTGTTGGTCTCATTTGAGGATGAGGACAGATTTCCTGGCCCTAATCTTAATGCCAATCACTAGGCCTGCAACAGAGCTCTCAGCTTGACAGCTAAAAGTCTGATAGCTCTCAGCAACTTAGGAAAATGGGGCTTCAGAGTTCTCAACCACTCCTAGCAAGGCTACCCAAAAAAGATGGGAGATGAGTCCAAAGAATAGGAAACTAAGCAAACTGACAAAAGGTGGTCACTCCTCCCTTATTATAAACCATAAAGAAAATGGCAGGCTGCAATTTATTTTCAGGGCTGGAATCAGGAGGGAGAGTTATTAGCTGGGGAAGGATCTGATCTGTCTAGTAATCAATCCACTTGGCTCACATGATTTGTGCAGAATCAGAGGCCCTGAACCTAGATGCAGGTTTGTGGAAACTGAGATCTGGAGACGAAATCCAAGTAGAAATGTAAAAGGTCATAATACATACCAAAAGTATGTTATGTAAAACTTGGTTTACTCATATAAATGTCTGGTATATTCACTTAAATACAAATAAAATAAGTTAGGTGGCAGAATCCTCTAACATCCAATGGTTGGCAGAGGCACTGATGGACACCTAATGCAGCCAGTGTAAAGTAAGTGTCCTGTTCTGCTAAAAATACATAGAATGCTTTGCACATACAGATCCTTATCCTGGAGCACCCCCCACCCCCTCCACCTTTGATCACACACATTCTTGACCTGCAGCCTTTACTTTTTGCTACAGTGGTTCATCACCTTTGCTTGTCATTGTAATCCCCTCCAGAGTTTTAAAAAATACTGAGGTCTAGAAATAGAAATTTTAAAAAAGTGCCCAAGGTGATTCTAACATGAAGCCAAGGTTTAAAACCACTGCTTTACTGCAAGGTTGGGTCAGTGAATCTCAAACCTAGTTTTGCATCATAATCGCCTGGGTAGCTTTTCTGAACTACCTATGAGTGAAAATCACAATCCTCCATAACTTAATATTCAATTACAAGGATAAACATATGTGATAGTAGAATGGTTTAACTGTCTTAATGGTCATAAATCCCAGCAGGTATTTTTTTTCAGCAAAGTAGTTTTGGTCTCTTGGGGGGTCAAGGTCACAGAGTTATCTCAAATCTTCAGACCTGCTCTCCTTATATTCTCAGTTTCCTGATAAGGCAGGGGAAAAAAACTAACTTGTTCTTACTCTCAGCAGAGACAGGTGGTGGTTTCTTTGGGTCTCTCCATTCCATCAGGGAGACTGGAACAGTCACTGTTAGGATTGGTGAGGGCATGAGTATGTGATCCTACTTTTGAATCCTTTTGATTTCTTGTATTTGTGTCTCTATGATTTAGAACAAAACTGCAAAAATAAGTTGCATATGTTTTGACAAAAAAATAGATGAGGGAGGAAAAAGGAAATTAATAAGCTTTCTTGTGTATGCCTTCTGTATGTGAAAATGCACTGTAGGCCAGGCATGGTAGCTCGTGCCTGTATTCCTGACACTCTGGGAGGCCGAGGCAGGTGGATCACCTGCAGTCAGGAGTTCGAGACCAGCCTGGCCAACATAGTGCAACCTCATCTCTACTAAAAATACAAAAAAGGCTGGACAGTGGCTTACTCCTTAATCCCAGCACTTTGGGAGGCTGAAGCAGGTGGATCACGAGGTCAGGAGTTTAAGAGTAGCCTGACCAACCCCATGGCTACTAAAAATACAAAAATTAGCCGGGGGTGGTGGTGTGCACCTGTAGTCTCAGCTACTCAGGAAGTTGAGGCAAGAGAATCGCCTGAACCCGGGAGGTGGAGGTTGCAGTGAGCCAAGATCGTGCCACTGTACTCCAGCCTGGGCGAGAGCAAGACTCCGTCTCAAAAAAAAAAAAAAAAAAAAAAAAACTGGCCAGGCGTGGTGGCACTCACCTGTAGTCCCAGCTACTCAGAAGACTGAGGTGACAATTACTTGAACCTGGGAGGCAGAGGTTGCAGTGAGCCGAGATCGTGCCACTGTATTCCAGCCTAAGCAACACAGCCAAGACTTCATTTCAAAAACAAAAAACAAACCAAAAAAAGTGCTCTATAAACTAGAAAACACTATGTGATTAATATTTAGTCTTGCAGAAATGTGATGATAAATGCATGGGACTTCTGCATGAGAGTTGCATCAGGCTCAGCATTTATGATAAATGCTCTCGTATGCCCTGAGGCACTGGAATAGCGTGGAGGGACAGAGCCAGAAATCAGGAGACCAAATAGTCTTAGGTTTGCTGATTTCTGGTCACAGTGCCTAAGGCACTCCCCAAAATCTGTCACATCAGCTTCCTCACCTGAAAAATGGGACTACATACCCCTTTGTCTCCCCCACAGGTCTGCATCGGGATTACAGGTAGTGAGGCAAGTGGCATGGCAGAACACAGAATCTAGATTCAGATCCTGGACTTGGATATAAGCTGTCACTTGTTACTTGGCCTTGCGCTAAATGACCATTCTCAGGTAAACAGGCAACCACCTCTTTCAGTGTTGTAAGGACTAAGGTAGTGATCTATGTTAATGCGTGAGATACATGCCAGGTATCATGGTCAATACATAAGGGTACACAACAAAGAATAAAAGTTCTGTATAAATACAAGGCAATATTATTACATATTACCTACTGCATAGTTTAATAAACCATTCTTCCAGGAGTAAAGGCTCAATGGTAACAAAGGTATCTTACCTTAGCCAGTTTCTTCATCCCTCTAAAAGTTTTCATATTCCAACACCTCTGAATTTCTCAAAAAATCAAATTAAGACCTTAGGAATCTTACTTCCACCTTCCCTCTCCCTTCACTTTCCCTCTTAGGTCCTCTCAGAATGAGAAGAGCTCCACCATTTCTTCTGAACACCATCCAGAATGTCAGAATGAAACCCAAACTGAGACCCCTGCCTGGACTTGAGCAGAATGACAGCAGAGACAACTGGGGCATGCCTCTAGGCAAGCTTTATTCTTTGACTCCTTTATCCAGGAAGGGGCTGTTAGTTGCATCTCACCCAAATGGAATGTGATGGGAATTGGGGGCTTGAGATGTTTGGAGAAGGAGCTGTTGATCTGGGCAAATGAATATAGCTGGTGTGTGGTGTCCATCAATCCTTGAGTGCTTGGCCATGCAGACTAGGGAATGGTCAGAATAGACTCAGAGGTCCCCAGATTTTTACAATACCAAGGTTCAAGAGGTATAGACAGTAAGGAAAAAGTCCATTTCCTATTTCTGTCCATTTTCAGTAAAGTTTTTTTGTTTTGACTGACTTTCTAAAAATTACCTAGGAAATGGAAAGCTTATAAACGTTCATAAGTGAATTGTTGAACTGATACCCCAAGTGGTTTCCTTACCTAGTCACCACTTAACCAGAAATATTAGAATACACAGTTCAACCAGAATTCAACCAGGCAGATAACCTGCCTGTTGCTTAAGCAATCATCAGAGTTTTAAAAAACAAAATTAAGCAAAAAAGACCTTTCCCCAAATAGCATCATTACCACTTAACTTTGTATGACCCATTCCTAAGAAAGCCACATTCCACTTCAGAAAACATGACCGCTTAAGGTACAGTTAAAACAAAGTCCTTGCCTTTAGGTGCTTACTTTTTGTTTTCTTTAAATTAGCCTCTGAAATGCTTTTCTTGTGTTTTGTGCTGCATTCCTGAAAACTCTAACTTTTAAGGACATAGCCCTCACTTTTATAGAGGAGGAAGAAAACAGCAAAGAGGTGTCTCATTAGGGAGGCAGAAGGTTATGACCAATGCTGGAGGTCTTCCTCTTCCTTACTTGTTATTCAACAAGATGGGTTCTGTGGTGTCGCATGAGGTGTGAGTTGGAAATGAAAGCTGCACCACACTTCTCACATTCATAGGGCTTCTCCCCGGTGTGGGTTCTCTGGTGCACGGTGAGGCTCGACCTCTGTCTGAAGGCCTTCCCACACTCATTACATGTGTAAGGTTTTTCTCCATTATGAATTCTCTGATGAATAAGTAGGTATGAGCTACATGTGAAGGCCTTCCCACATTCATTACATACGTAAGGAAGATCTCCACTGTGAATTCTCTGGTGGACAATAAGGCAAGAGAGCTGACTGAAGGCTTTCCCACATTCGCTGCAGTCGTAAGGTTTCTCTGCAGTGTGAATTCTCTGGTGCACAATAAGGTGTGAAAAACAACTAAAGGCTTTCCCACACTCTTTACACTCATATGGCTTCTCACCAGTATGGCTTCGCTGATGTACAATGAGATTTGCACTCTGGGTAAAGGCTTTGCCACAATCGTTACAAGCAAAGGGCTTCTCCCCAGTGTGGATCCTCTGGTGGACAATGAGGTTTGAGCTCCTAGTAAATGTTTTCCCACATTCATTACATTCATAGCATTTTTCTGTAATGTGGACTTTCTGGTGCCGAGCAAGTTGTGAGCTGTAACTAAAGGCTTTCTCACATTCACTGCACTTAAAAGTTTTTTCTAAGGAGTGGATTTTTTGATGTACAGTAAGATTTGAACTCTGAGTGAAGGCTTTCCCACATTTTGAGCAAACATAAGGTTTCTGTCCAGTGTGGATTCTCTGATGCACAACGAGGTTTGCACTTTGAATGAAGGCCTTCCCACACTCATGACATTCAAAGGGTTTCTCTCCAGTGTGGATTCGCTGATGCACAACGAGGTTTGCACTCTGACTAAATCCTTTCCCACACACGCTACATGTAAAAGGCTTTTGCCCAAGCTGGGTTTTTGGATTTTTAACAGCGCCAGAATTAAGGCTGTATTTTCCCCCAGATTTCTTACATTTCTGGTTTTCTTCTTCTTTGAAGCTTTCAGATAACTGACGGTCATTCACTATCACTTGTCTGAAATCTTTCTTTTCCCTCTTTATTCTCTGCCTCTTTAACTTGTTTCCTTTTTCACAAGCTTCTCCTAACTCAGGTCCTTGAGGATCAGCTTTCTGGATTCTTTCTGATATGATGAGGGGTTTTTCAGCTTCCTCACATATCTCAGTTTTTGGAACCAGTAACTGTAGGTTCTTGGTTTCATCACCTGAACCAAGAAACAGACAATACAAATGTTAGCTTTCTCTGGCCTAGAAAAACAATAGGATCATCAAGTCATAAAAGGGAGTATGTGATCTCAGCACCTCCACAAAATGGCTTCATCAAAAAAAAGAATCCCATCACATGTTACCTCTCCTCCATAGGTTCTTCAGCTGGGGCTTTGCCCTCCTCTCTACCTACAGCAGAATCCACTGACTCATGGTCTTTCCAGCACTTCCACTTGCCTCCATTAGACACTTAACCCCACTGCCTCATGCCAGGGAGGCCCAATCTCCAGACAGCGCTCCTCCTGGCTGTATGATGACTGCCCTTGCAATGAAGACCAGTTATGAAGGACACGAGCCTCTCCCTAGGCTTGCCTTCTTACCTTAGCTACTTAGTGTGGATTTGCTTACAACCCACCAGTTAATTAGGGAGATTTGCTACCTGTAAACAAAGATCTAGCAACCGAGGTTTCTGTGTCTGAGGATACTGGATATCAAAGAAAGGATAAGCATGGACAGAAAGGGTAACACTGGCTGCCAAGATAGCCACAGCAACCAAAAGCATATGAAACGCTGTGAGGTCCTGCAGCATATAGGTTAAGAACATGGATTCTAGAGCCAGACTGCCTGGTTTCAAATCTCTGCTCTGACACTAACTAGCTGCATGACTTTGGGCTACTTAACTCCTGTGTGCCTCAGTTTCCCAATCTCTAAAACAGGGATACTAATAGTATCTACCTCATAAGGCTGTGAGTATATTAATGGAGTTGCTCTATGTCAACTACTAAGGCATTGTCTGGAATACAGTCAGTGTTCTGAATGTGTGCAGCAACTTTCAGGCTGACTGATGATGTTGTGAGGGGTCAGAAGGAAAGATGAATGCTCAGGGGAGGGGAGTTGCTATGGTGATAGACAGCTACACTAGGAGAATTAAAAAAGAAACCGTACATGGCAAACTCTTACCCTTGTGTCATAGGAATAGCTTAGCATTGTGTCAAGGAAAGCTGACCTTGTTGAGTTATGGCATAGCCTGCTCCACAATGCCAGAAAATATCATGAGAACATCAAAACACCCTGAAGCTTTATGATACTGATTAGTCTCTGGATGCTTTACATTGCTTCAGAATCTAATGGTATCAAAAAGGAGTCCTGCTATCAGTAACATCATAGTTCTTTATGTTTGTCTCCTCTGCACCCTCACTCTCCTTGACCTTGAAATGTGCAACCATGTAACCCAGTTTTGGCACAGTGAACCCTTAACAAGTGTTTGTCAGTTAAACCAAGCTCAAGAAATAAGGCAAGTGAAATAAAGGGAAACAGGAATGGGTGGCAAGCCTGTAGAGCAGCGAGGTATTCCCCTGGTGATGTCAGCTCAGAAATGAGCAGTGGTGCTGTGAGCTTCAGGTTATAACTGCTGCTACTGCACGGTGGGGAGACTAGCACCCATGGAAGGGAAATATCCTACAGGATGACCATCCAACCAATGATATGAGTGGGTGGGACAAGGATGTTGGAGTGGTACAAAGCAATACTGGGGGTAGGAAAACAGCCTGGTTTGATTGCCTGGTTAAGAGTATGGTAATCCGAAATTCTATCACAATCGTTCAGACAAGATGAGCAGTGTCAGAGGAAAGAAATGCCCAAGTGCTGGATATAGTAGAGCCCCAGATATGACAAACAATAAAAATCTGAAATGCTGGCAGGTCACAGTGGCTCACGCCTGTAATCCCAGCATTTTGGGAGGCTGAGGTGGGCAGATCACCTGAGGTCAGGAGTTTGAGACCATCCTGGCCAACATGGTGAAACCCTGTCTCTACTGAAAATACAAAATTAGCCAGGTGTGGTGGTGCATGCCTGTAGTCCCAGCTACTTGGGAGGCTGAGGCAGGAGAATTGCTTGAATCTGGGAAGTGGAGGATGCAGTGAGCTGAGACTGCACCACTGCACTTGCACTCCAGCCTGGACGAGACAGAGCGAGACGCTATCTCAAAAAAAAAAAAAAAAAAAGCCAGGTGTGGTGGCTCATGTAATCCCAGCACTTTGGTTTGGGGGGCCAAAGCAGGTGGATCACCTGAGGTCAGGAGTTGGAGACCAGCCTGGCCAACATGGTGAAACCCCGTCTCTAGGAAAAATACAAAAAAATTAGCTGGGTGTTGTGGCGGGTGCTTTTGTCTTAGCTGCTCTGGAGGCTGAGGCATGAGAATCACTTGAACCCAAGAGGTGGAGGTTGCAGTGAGCTGAGATCATGCCACTGCACTCCAGCCTGGGCGGCAGAGTGAAACTCATCTCAAAAAAAAAAAAAAAAAAAAAATCTAAAATGCTAAACTTTTTCTGGTTATTTCTATTCCTACTGTTCTGCTATCTCTTGCTTTTTAAAAATGTACTGTTTTTCTCTCTGTAGTTTACTTGCTCTTCTATCTGTTCTTCTGCTGTTGCTTTCTTATTTTTTCCTGTTATCTTGACTCCTTACTGACTCTTCATCTCTCTCCTCTCCTATTTTTTAATTTTTTGTGTGAAATATTTTGAATTTTTCCATATACAGTTTCATGCCTCTTCTGTTTTTCTTTTGCTGACTGCTTTCTTCTCTTTATGTTCTTTACTGTTACTTTAACACCTACATCCCACTTTATTCTTCTCCCATCTAACATCTCCTCCTACATCCCACTTTATTCTTCTCCCATCTAACATCTCCTCCCTTGGTTCTTTTCACCTCCTCTTTTGCTTTAACTCCCCATCACTGACACCTGGGCCTCCCATCCCCAAGCTGGGCATCTCTCCAACAGAAACAGAGCCCATGAAAACTTTAGTTCATAGCTGCACTGTCTCCCTGACCTTCACTCCTACCCTCCTTACTGGGAGATTTAGAATGTTGGGCATGAAAAATGAAGATCAGTGGGAACTACTAAACTGATTACAGTCAATAATGGAAACAACTCCTTCTATCTGAATGATGTCTCCTGTCAAAACCATTACAAAACCAGGTGCAACTGTAGCCTAGAAGGTTTTCATGCAAGTGATTCATCACTGAGTAAAGTAAGACCTGGGGTCTGGACAAATGCCTAAGAAAAGAGAATTAGGGTCCATCTGGTGTTGGTCAAGTTCAAATTTCTTTGGGTAAAAAGATTAATCAGCAAATAATCCGGGTGTATAACCTCGGTTTCTCTGAAATGGTATTTTTCCTTTTTTAAAAACATGTAGGATTACTGTAGCTCTAGAGAAATTAAATTAAGTACAGAAATAATGAAAAACTAAACCAAAAACTAATTTGTGACCAACTAGAACACAGGCATAGCCATAGTTTTGAAATCAATACTTTTCTTTCACTTTTTTTTTTTTTTTTTTTAAAGATACCTGAAATGCTACATGAGGCTGCCATCTCAGCTGGTGACTATATTCAGAGATAAGAAGGGTAATTTGATTTACTAAATTTATAAGTCCAATTCATTAGATTTATAAAAGCTGTGTGTTTATCAAGATTTTATTTACAAGACTTGTAAATCTGCTCAGTTAGGTGTTTGGAATGTTTTAAAGAACTAAAGATATCAAATTTGCAATTATGTTTTATATAAAGAAATTTGATAAGCAGGTAGGATTAAATGTTTAAAAATTTTAATTTTATTTATATTTTTAGACGGATTCTCGTTCTGTCGCCCAGGCTGGAGTGCAGTGGTGCAATCTTGGCTCACTGCAACCTCTGTCTCCCAGGTTCAAGCGATTCTCCTGTTTCAGCTTCCCGAGTAGCTGGGACTACAGGCACGCACCACCACGCCTGGCTAATTTTTGCATTTTTAGTAGAGACAGGTTTTCACCATGTTGGCCAGGCTCGTCTCGAACTCCTGATATCAGGTGATCCACCCGCCTCCGCCTCCCAAAGTGCTAGGATTACAGGTTTGAGCCACTGCGCCCGGCCAAAATGTTTAAAAAATTTAATCTGTAAAATTTGAAGCTTAACTGAACATAAATTAAAGAAAAAATACAAATGATCTCACTTTTATACAAATATTTCTAGACATATGGATGAAGTAAAAAGTTATGCTTAATGGCTTAAAAATTGGTTTTTAAATGAATAAACTTTAATAAATGCAACATTAATTAAAATATGAAAACTGCAGTTAAAACTTGCTCAGACATTAAAAACCCAGTAACAATCACAATTTCCAAAGCACTTTCATGTATATTATACAATTTCATCACGATGATGAAACTGTTCTCCTTCAGCTAAAAAAAGAGCAAGGTTGTGTCTTATTCATTTCTGTATCTCTAGCACCTATCACACTGCCTGGCACACAGGAAGGAGAGCGCCAACGAATCCTATACTTAATGAATGAACACACCCAATTTGTAGAACAGGAAATGGAGGTCCAGAGAGAGAAGGGACTTACTCAAGGTCACAGAGTTACTACAGGCAGGGCAGCAACCTCACTCAGATGTCTCTCACACATAGAGCTCAGTGTTTCCGCCATCGCCTGCTGACATCGCCATGGAAATAGTGTTGGCAGTGTTCCTGCCATTGCCATGGAAATAGCTGGCAGCACAAAATGGTAAGTCTCGGGTATGAACACGGTCTTGAGTTAAGAGGCAAAGTAGGAAAAGGGAGCCCATTCCTGATGAGGTGCAGCTGTTGGGGTTAAGACTATGAATGGCTGATAAAGCCAACAGACAGAAAATAAGTGACACGCAGGGGAATGCACCAGAGAGAATGGAACAAAAAGCAGAAAGTGGGGAACAGAAGCTGCTAAGAGTTTGGGAATAATTAAAAATGAGACAAGAAAGTCTAGGTGGAGATCCTCGTCTTCCCCATAGCACTGGTTTAAGAAAGTGACTTGGTCCCCAGATGTCTGAGGAACTGGTTAGGGAGGAGAGAGGGTTCAAAGTGTTAATTATCTGGCAGACTCATAAAAAGAATAGGGCTTGGCAATCATCCGATAAGTGCTTTGAAACACAGGACTCATGGATACTGCATTCTTGACCCTCACTTAAATGTCACTCCTCCACAGGCAAGCTTCTGCCACTGCCAGTGAGATCTTTAGAACATACTACCCTTTCTTTAGTCCTAGCTTAGAGAGAACAAGTTGATAAGCCATCAGTACCCTCCATGAAGACCTAGTTTTGAACCTCATTATGGTTGACATAGCTGCTCAAAATTCTCCATAATTTGCACAAAGATCTATGAAAACAGAACATCTCCAGGGCATTTGCTCAAAATCACCACAAAAGTTGACTGATCCTACCTCAGCTAGCATCTCTTGCAGGCTCACTAACCTATGCTAACTACAAAGCATATAAAGAGGACATGTGCTTACATGTGTGCACAGAGATGAAACTCACTGAACAATAAATATCACTAAAAAGTAAGTTTGGAATTCGCCTATTGTATGGTAAAAACACCTGATGGCAACAACTTAAGCATAACCTGAGAATGAGCTTGTATGGCAGACACACCTGAACACAGTTTGGAGTTCCAAGCAAAGGAATCCAGAAGTGGCCAACCTGGAGATCTATTCCTTATCCATTCCCCACCCCTTTCAGTGGAATATGGGCCCTAAAGGGGATTGGGGCCCCTTGTTTTGTGTTAAATTAAGGCTGCCAGGTGGAGGTCATTCATGGGAGGGTGTTAAGGGAAAATGTTATATAAACTGCATGCCTTTGGCAAGCGGTTGCAGTTCTCCTGCCCAGCCTGTGCCGCTGGGGCATGTGGTTCTCCTGTGCCCAGCCCACTGCCTCTAGACTGTCTAACCTGTATATAAACATCTAGTAAAACTCCATGTCGTTTGCTGGCCCTGGGTCTCTTCTTCAGCCTCTTGAACCTGGTGCCATATTGCTGTTGATTAGGTTTTAGGGACAAAACCTATGTTTGTCTGGTGTCTTGAGCCTGTGTGCAAAATAAGGCACTTCCCGTAACAAATGCACAGGCATTTCAGCATTTGTCTTTCCAACTTTCCTTGACACTTTTAATACCTCAGTACTCTGTTGGTCAACCTAGGAAACAGGATGCCCACCACAGTCTCTGAAAAGATTTTGAGAAACCCCAATGGTCAGATTCAGAATCAGGGAATTGAACCATACCTAGAAAGTTCATGGTCCCATGAGTCTCCAGTATCTCACTCTTGGCCAGAGTCCCTGGTAACGAGTAGCTGCCAAGGGGTGAAGCAGCAGGTGCCTCCTGAGTTGCTTTCAGGATTACCGCCATGTCCCAGAATATGTTCTGACTCTAGAGACAAGGAGGAACGTGTTTAAGAGGGAACTGGTGGTAGGGGGTAGTGTGATTACAATTTTGAGAATGAGAACATAATTATCTATTCCTGGAGGCCATAAAACAATTTTTAAAAACAGAAAAGGAAGCCAGAGTCTCCTCCAACCCCCAGGGTGAGTTGGGCAGAGAAGCAAGCCAGCTACTTTCTTGCTTATTACTTTGATTGCACCTCACTGCTCACTCCAGAATCTAAACCTAGCTTATCAGTGAGTACATAAGAGGAGAGAGCATATGGGAAGAATTTTCAAAGTGAACTTTTGTGGGATCTAAGGAACAAAGCAGCAAGGTTTTGATGATATTATTACAGAAAGACTCTGGGGGAACCTCTGCCCTCATTTGACTAGTAATGGTAAGGGGTGAGTTTGAAACATTAAGGACAGCACAGTGTACAGCCTCATGAGTCAAAGTGTGGTGCAAAGATAAGCAGCAGTATCTGCATCACCCACAAGCTTGAAAAAAAAAAGAAAAAGAAAACGCAGACTCTCAGACCATACCCAGACGTCCTCAATCAGAATCTGAACTTCAACTATTTTAACAAGAGCCCCTAGGTGATTCCTATGCACATTAAAGTTTTAGAAGCTCTGGTTAGCATTGTCAAAACCTGACTGAAATCACCTGAAGCGTTTTTAAAAACATGGATACCCAGGTCCCACCCCTAGATTCTTTTTTTTTTTTTTTTGAGACAAGGTCTCACTCTGTTGCCCAGGCTAGAGTGCAGTGGCGTTAATTCGGCTCACTGCAACCTATGCCTCCCGGGCTCAATCAATCCTTCCACCTCAGCCTCCCAAGTAGCTGAGATTACAGGTACATCCCACCATTCCAAGCTAATTTTTTGTATTTCTGCATAGAAAAACACGAGGTGTGCAATGTTGCCCAGGCTGGTCTTGAACTCCTGACCTCAAGTGATCCTCCCGCCTTGGCCTCCCAAAGTGCTGGGATTACAGGTGTGAGTCACTGTGCTTGGACCCTGGATTATGATTTAATGGGAACAGAATACAGCATGGACATCAAGATTTTATAAAAAGCTCTCCAGGTTCTGTGTAGCAAAATTTGAGAACCACTGGTTTATAGAAAGTACTGAATGTCACATCAATCAGAAGAGAACATTTCTATCCTATTACAAGTGACTGGAAGCTAGAATCATACCCAAGAAATAAGACTCCAGGTGTGGAAGTAGAGGGGCAGAGTCTCCTCTTAAACTCCTTGAGGTCTTCAAGTATCTCCTCCCCTCTTCCTCTCAGGCCCCAATTTACCTTTTCTTCCTCTTCTGATCCATCAAGGCCTGTCTGAAGACCCTCCACTGGGGTCCAGACTTTGATGTTCTCAGAGTGCACTTGTTGGCTGGATGCCTGACCTGGGAAGTTTTCTTCTTCCTCCTCCTCCTTTTTCACCTTCACTGGGCCCCATGGAGCTAGGGCCACGGCTTCTCTCAATTCTGCAGTCATCTTCTCTGCTCAGCAGGGGAACTCATACAGATGGGAGCTGCCCAGCAGAGGTCAAACCCCATCTAAGCTTTATGTTTCAAAAGCTTCTTCTTGAGTTTCTTTCCAGGGCCAAGATGAGTACTGCCTACTGAGAAATCAGAAAACACTGTTAGCACCAAGGAGAGATTTGCTGGATGCCACTTAATACACTGGCAAATTTCACCAGTGCCTGGCCAGGGGCCACTGTAGGACATGGAATCCTCTATTCCTCCCTCATAGGATGAAGGGGTTGGACTGTAAATATGTAATGTCTTCCCATAATAACCACATTGCAAACAGCTTTATATAATGTTTATTGATTTTTTCCTGATTAAAAGTTAACATACTTTTATTGTAAAAACTTAAAAAATGCAGCAAATGATTAAGAAAAACCATCTCGGTCTACCTCCAAAGAGATAACCACTATACATTTTAAGATTTAAGATATTTCTTTCAAAGGAAAATCTCCAACCGTACTACTAATAATTATGATTTTATAAATTCTTGTTTTTGACTATAGGGATACATATTTTCACAATTATCATCATAGCATTTTTTAAAAAAGGATTTTACAACAAAAGATTTTTTATTGCCAAGGATACAAAATAATGTGAACAAAAGGATCCCAAGAAAAAGACTGGGAGTCTTTACACAAACATGTTAGCAGTGGGTAGTTATCTCTGGGTGGTGTAATTACAGGTAGTTTTAAGGTTCTTTTCATTTTTTTAATTTGATTTTTACATTTTCCATAGCTTCCAAATGTCCTGTGAGATAAAATATTACACTTAAGATTTAAAAAAAGATTACTTTCATGTTGCCATTCTTCATGGTTATTATTACTCTTTTTTAGATACGGAGTCTTGCTCTGTCCCCCAGGCTGGAGTGCAGTGGCGTGATCTTGGCTCGCTGCAAGCTCTGCTTTCTGGGTTCACGTCATTCTCCTACCTCAGCCTCCCCAGTAGCTGGGACTACAGGCGCCCACCACCACGCCCAGATAATTTTTGTATTTTTAGTGGAGACAGGGTTTCACCGTGTTAGCCAGGATGGTCTCGATCTCCTGACCTTGTGATCCACCCGCCTTGGCCTCCCAAAATGCTGGGATTACAGGCATGAGCCACCACACTCGGCTCTTCATGCTTATTTTAAATGCTACACAATAACCTATAGTGTTGATAAATCTTCATTGAAAAAGGATCAAGTAATACAGAAATATATAGAATTAAATATATAACCTATACACACTACACACACACATACAAAGTACTTATCAGTTTAGATGGGAGTCCTAACCCATTTTCTCTGCATTTACATACTTATATGTACACCTTCACACATACTGCTTATTTTTCAAAAATATACTTTAGATCATCACAGTTATATACTGTTCAGCAACCTGCATTGTTTTTTAACTGAATTTCTGTATTTCACAATAGTCTTAACAATCTTTCAATACAATACATATAGAACTACCTCACTCTGGCATAGTATTCTAAATTGTGGCTATATTATCATTTACGTAACCATATCCTATTTATGAACCATTTATTTAGTAAAAGTTTACATTTCCATTTTATTAATATTTAAAAGTTTTTCTTTGTAAATAATTTTTTTTTTTTGCTGAATTATTCCTTTATAATAATCAGAGTTCAAGGATTATTCAAGGATTTGCTGGTTGATATGTACTGCCAAATTGCTTTCCAAAAGCACCATGCCAATTCATACCCTCACTAATTAACAGAAACCCTTTATCACAGCTAAGCCAGCAGGGTTTCTGTTTTTAACCTGTGAGCAACATAACCTTACTAGTTTGATTGCTTATGAAGAGACTGAACTTCTTCCTTCTATCCCCCTGTGAATGTTTTATTGGAAAAGGGTGCTAAATCTTATTCAATCCCCTGTTGCTGCTATTGAAGTGATCATATTCTTTTCCCCATGTCAACTTACTACTTACTGTATACACTGAATTTATTAAGTAATGCAATACTTTCATTCCTGTGACAAACCTTAATTCTGGAGGATTATTCTTTCCATCACTATCCGAATTCAATCTGGTAGGAAGGTCTTAAGACTAGTTCCACCTTGTGTATGTGCAAGACTGCCTACTGTGAGTACTCTCATCAGACTTCTGATCAGATTCACACGGACCTCTGGTCCCAGAGGGCACAGGGCCCTCTATCAAAGGCTCCCTTTCAATGTCCTTTCTCTATTTCCAAACGTGGCAATCCATTCTCTCCACGTATAGGCTCCTCGCGTCCCCGTCCCTGGGACCTGTCTGGCCCCTTGGCTGGTCTCGGTCCATCCTCTCCCGGGCCAGGCCCCAGGTGGGCGGCAGCCGGGATTCCAAGGCTGTGGGGAACTCACCCACCCCAGGACAGACAAGGCTGGTGTCCCCAGGGAAAGGACGCAGGGGCCGCTCCTAGGGCCATGGTCCCTGGGACAGCCCCTCTTTCTCCCTCGACGTTCGTGCCCACCCACTTCGATCTCACTCACTGTTCGCAGCTGAGAAGCCCGACCTGAGTTCACTGGCTCTGCAGCATGAGGCCGGCTGACCGGGACCTCAGCTCCCATCGGTACGAGAACAATGACCGGACAGGAAGTGTCTCGGGATGGGCTTCCGGCTCCCCAAGTAGCCAAGCCGGCCTCTCTAGGAATCTCGGAGGTGCTTTCCTCTCGATGGGTGTCCAGTGTCGCCCCACACCAGGGATGGGGCGAAACGCTTAGGAGGATTGTGCGGTTGGAAGCTCTAAGTGAGCCTCAGGGAGGGGCGCATCCCCAAGCAGGGATAGAACACTCAGGCGTGGCGCGCACCCAAGAGCCTGAAGCTACACAGCATTAATCTGTAAAAAGCCCTGATAATTTCCCCTCAAATATTTTATTTTGAAAATATCAGAGTACATAAAAGTTGAAAGTATGGCACATTGAATACCCGTATTTTCCATCTGGACTCAACAACGAACATTTTGCTATGTTTGCCTGATCTCTCAATACGTACTTAAAATCTTTTTTTTTTTTTTAAGTTGTAAACATCAGAACATTAATTCCAAATACTTCAACATGCATCTCATAAGATTAAGAATATTCTTCAAACTACCATCACCGTCACAGGTAAGAAAATCAACAAAAATTCCCTAATACCATCTAATAACCAATCATATTCAAATTTCCCAATTGTCTTGAAACATGTATAACTTTTTTTTCAAATCAGTTTCACACACTTTATTTGGTTATGGCTCTTTAGTTTTGGGTTTTGGTTGTCATTGTTGGTTTTTACTTTTTATTTTGAAATGATAGATTCACAGGAAGATGCAAAAATAACACCCTTCACCCACTTTCCCCTCATGGTTACATCTTACATAATATGAAAAAGGAAATCAACATTGGTACAGTATGTGTGTATACTTTTGTCATTTTTAGCACATACAGATTTGTCTAACCACCACTACAATCAAGATACACTAGTGTTCCATCACCATCAAGACTTTCCTGGTGCTACCTCTTTATAGTTACATCCAACCCTCTCCCCATTTTCCCTCCCACCATCCCTAACCTTTGGCAACCATTAATTCATTTTTCATCTCTATAGTTTTATCATTTTGAGAATGTTATATGAACATTTTCATACACAACATGGTCTTTTGTGATTATTTTCACTCAGCATTAATTTTCTTGAAATTTATTTGAGTTGTTACGGATATCAATAAGTCAGTCAATTTTATTGCGGAGTAACAAGTATTCCATGGTAATACATAAACCACAATTTGTTTTAACCATCTAAGGAAGGATATATGGGTTGCCTACAGGTTTTGACCATTACAAATAAAGCTGCTATGAGCATTCATATACACGTTTTTGTGTGAACGCAAGTCTTCATTTCTCTGGGATAAATGCTCAGGAGTGCAATTCTTGAGGCATGACATACACATGTTTGGTTTTACAAGAAACTGCCAAATTATATTCCAGAGTGGCTATACCATTTTACATTTCCAGAGAAACAGTATCAGATCCTGTTTCTCTGCATCCTTGCCAGCAGTTACCACCATTAAAAAAAAAAAAAAAAGTTAGCTATTCTGATAGGAATGTGGTGATATCTCATGATTTTCCTTTGCATTTCCCTCATGCCTAATGATGTTGAACATTTTTTCATTTGCTTATTTGCTATGTATACTTCAGTGAAATGTCTTTTATTTTCTAATTGTATTTACTTATTACTGTTAAATTTTGAAAGTTCTTTATGTAGTTTACATACAAATCCTTTGTTGGATATGATTTGCAGATATTTTCTCCCAACTTGTAATATCTTTTCATCTTTGTAAAAATGTCTCTTACAGAGCAAATTATCTTAATTTTGATGAAGTCCAATTTAACATTTTTTTTTCCTTCCAAGGAGCATGCTTTTGAGTCATCTGAGCCTTCTTAGCTCAGTCCTGGGTCCTGAAGTTGTTGGTTTACTGCCTATGGATATCCAATTGCTCCAACAGTATTTGCTGAAAAGGCTATCCCTCCTCCATTGAATTGCTTTTGCCCCTGTCAAAAATCAATTGGCCATTTATGTGAGTCTATTTCTGGTTCTTAGTATCTAATGGCTCTTTAGTATCATCTTTTAAAAACAAGCCTCCTCATCCATGTTTTATACCTTTCATATGGAAATTTTCATACATACACAAAAGCAGAGAATGGCATAATAAACTCACAGTAGACTCAGACAGCTTGAACAATTTTCAGTCCCCTCTCTTTTTCATCATCATCATATTTTGAAGAAGAATCCAGGGCAGCTTTCTTATACAATATTCCATGTTCTGGATTTGTTTCTCGTGGTGTCTTTTATTTGTTCCTCTGCCTCCTGTATTTCCTGTAACCTGGCAATGAGGTCCAAGAAGCTTAATGAAATTCAGGTTGAACATTTTTCAGCTTATTACATCACAGGAGGTGGCACATTATGTGGGCTGTCTCAATCTAAGCAATGTTACATTTTGTTACTTGCTGAAGAGGCAAATGACAGCAGTCTCTACTGTTAAACTACATATGTCCTTTGCAATTATTATATAAGCTGGGGTGATTCTTCTACAACATAGATGAAGCATTTTCATATTCATTATCTCATAAGAACTTTGTGAGGTAGATATTCTTCCTCCTGTTTGACAGATGAGGAATTCAAGGCTCCAAGAACTGAAGAGATTTTTTCTGAGGCAGATGGCAAAACGTGACCCACATCTAGGTCTTAAGACTTTAAGCCTTAGGCCCCTTTCAGTTTTCACTCTTGGTTACCTTTCATTCTAATGAGGAACCAGCCCCCAAGAACTGTGCGGTTGAATTAGTAACATTTATGATAATCAAAATACCACTCTGACATTATTAAAAAACATAATCTTCATATTCAGATATTATTCACAGTCCAGCTACAGAAACAGAACTTTGAGAATTACAACATAAAAATTACCAACTCAAAAATATAGACTGAGTTAAAACCTACAAATGTACTCAAGGACACAGAATGGTTCACAGGGGTTAATGGGCACTGACTGCATTGGCTTAATCAGTGAAGAGCTTGGCTCCGTAAGAAAAATTTATGACCCAGTAAATTTAGTGCTGGGACAGAATGCTGTTTCATGAGTAACAGGCTATCATTTGACAGCAATGATGAAATATTGATTAGAATTGGCAATGACTGTGGCGGGGATCATCAGCTCAACTGCTCGGTCAAGGATTTTTTCCCTCTGGATAGGGAAAGCAGGGTACCACTGCCCTTCCATTTTAACACTCTACATCTGTTAAGTTTCAAATTCAAAAGCTGGAAAATAAATTGTTTTCCTTAGCATCACTGTTAATGGCTGGCCATAACATTTTTTCCATACACATAAACTAGATATATAATCTATTAACTCCCTTATTTTTAAAGGTAAATTAAAAAAATTATTCTTACAGCACTAAATTCCAGTTAGCTATTCACCATACTTCCTCTTACAAAAATGAGCATCTTTTAGGTTCATAGAATCCCCCTCATTCTAATATTGACTTAATACACAAACTTACGTGATCCCATGTTTTAAACTTTGACCATAACCTCTTTTATCCAACTTTATTGACAACTGAATGATTTCAAAAAGCACTTTCACAAAGATCCTTTCATGTAACCCTCACAACAACCCTGTGAGGTAGGTATCATGTCAACATTTGACAGGAAACTGAGGCTTTAGGGCTGACTTAATAACATCACATGGCCATTAAGGGAAAGCCAGGAATCAAAGGTAGGTCTTCTGATTCCAAATCCAGTGCTCTTCTTAGGTTGTCCTCATCAGCAGACTCTTGTCCACTCAACTCCACACCTGACCATTCTGGATCATACTGTCTTCAGGTTTTCTATAGCAGTGACGCTATCTTTAAAATGCATACTATACACATTTTAAAAACCAATGTCCACTTTTTATGATTAAATTTTTAATTTTATTAATAAATTTATTTTTATTTACTAAAGATGGGTCTCCCTATGTTGCCCAAGTTTGTCTCCAACTCCTGGGCTCAAGTGATCTTCCCACCTCAGCCTCCCAAAGTCCTGGGACTACAGGAGTGAGCCACTGCACCCAGCCCATGTCTACTTTTTCATACAAAGATATTGTTGCTGTCATTTACAACTATGTTATTAGATTTGAATTATGTTTTTGTAGACTTGAAAGTTGGGATGAACTTTCTTTTATTTTTTCAGACAGAGTTTTGCTCTTGTTGCCCAGGCTGGAGTGCAATAGCATGCTCTCAGCTCACTGCAACCTCCGCCCTCCTGGGTTCAAGTGATTCTCCTGCCTCAGCCTCCTGAGTAGCTGGGATTACAGGCATGTGCCCCCATGCCTGGATAATTTTTGTATTTTAGTAGAGACGGGGTTTCACTATGTTGGTCAGGCTGGGCTCGAAATCCTGACCTCAGGTGATCCACTCGCTTCGGCCTCCCAAACTGCTGAGATTACAGGTGTGAGCCACCATGCCCGGCCTATTAACTTTCTTCTATATGCGACTCATTTGTCTATTAAAGAGTAAATAATAAACTTTTTTCTTAGAAGAAATATGTATCATTTGTCCAACAGTTACTTAAGTAGGCAGGGATTCTATTCCATTTTATATATGACACTAGATTTTCTGAATCTCAATCTTGGACTCATGGGTGTTTTGTAGCCAAGACAATTCCTCAATGGTATGGATCTTCTGTTGAAGATGAATGCTGGAAGTCTGACAGAATTCTTTTTCAGACACATCACATTCACAAGGTTTTTCATCTGTGTGGATTTTCTGATGTACAGTAAGGTTTTTTCTTTGCCTAAAAACTTTACTACAATCATTACACCCATAGGGTTTCTCCCCTGTGTGAATTCTCTGGTGGCCAACTAAATTCCTCTTAGAAGTAAAGGATTTCCTACACTTCTCACACTCATAAGGTTTTTCCCCAGTGTGCATTCTCTGATGTACAACAAGGTTTTTATTCTGACTAAAGTCTTTTCCACACTCATTACATTTATAAGGTTTCTCTCCAGTGTGGATTCTTTGATGTACCATAAGATTTCTACTAGAGGTAAGGACTTTCCTACATATAAGACATTCGTAGGTTTTTTCTCCACTGTGAATTCTTTGATGTTCAATTAGGTTTCTGTTGTAGGTAAAACCTTTTCCACACTCATTGCATGCATAGGGCTTCTCGCCAGTGTGGATCCTCTGATGGGCTATAAGGTTTGAGCGGTAACTGAAGACTTTCCCACAGTCATTACATTTATAAGATTTTTCCCTCGTGTGAATTCTCTGATGTCCAATGAGGCTTTTCTTCAGAATGAAGCATTTGCCACACTCATCACACTCATAGGGTTTCTCACCACTGTGGATTCTCTTATGCTCAATGAGGTTTCTGTTTGAACTGAAAGCTCTTCCACACTCACCACATTCAAAGGGTTTTTCTCCAGTGTGGATTCTCCGATGTACAAGCAGGCTTGAATTGTAACTGAAAGCCTTCCCACAGTCTTCACATTTGTAGGCTTTCTCTTGTGTATGGAGTTTCTGATGGACCATAAAACTTTTGCTCATAATAAAGGTTTTCCCACACTCCTGACATTCATATGGCTTCTCCCCATTGTGGAGTCTCTCATGGTCAATGAGGTTTCTGTTTGAACCGAAGACCTTGCCACAATCTTTACATTCATAGAGATTCTCTCCAGTGTGGAACCTTTGATGTAAAATGAGGCTCTTCTTCAGAATAAAAACTTTCCCACATTCATTACATTCATAGGGCTTCTCCCCATTGTGGAGTCTCTGGTGGTCAAAAAGGTAAGCACTTTGAGTAAAGGCTTTCCCACATTCAGTGCATTTATAAGGTTTCTCTCTGCTGTGCATCCTCTTATGGTCAAGGAAGTTTGACTTAGAACTGAAAATCTTCCCACACTTTTTACAACCAAAGGTTTTCTTTTCTGTGTGGACTCTCTGATGTAAGAGGAGGCTTTTACTTCGAATGAAAACTTTTCCACATTCTTTACACTTGTAAGGGTTCTCTGCACTGTGGAGTCGCTGATGGTCAATAAGGTAAGTGGTCTGAGCAAAGGTCTTTCCACATTCATCACATTTATAGGGTTTTTCCCCAGAGTGGATTCTCTGGTGCAGAATGAGGCTTTTCTTCAGAATGAAAGCTTTCTGACACTTGTTACATTTATAAGGTTCTTCCCCTTTGTGGAGCCTCTGATGGTCAATGAGGTAAGCATTCTGAGAGAAAACTTTCCCACATTCATTACACTTATAAGGTCTCTCCCCTGAATGGCGCCTTAGATGTATAATTAGGCCTGAGTGTCTATAGAAGCCCTTTCCACACTCTTTACACTTATAAGGTTTCTCCCCAGTGTGGATCCTCTGATGGTTTAGAAGGTAAGCACTTTGAGAAAATGCTTTCCCACATTCATTACATTTATAAGGTTTCTCCCCTGAATGGTTCCGTAAATGCATTAGAAGGCTCGAACGCTGAATAAAGCCTTTTCCACATTCCTTACATTTATGAGGTTTCTCACCAGTGTGGATTCTCCGATGGTTTATAAGATGGGAGATTTTATTAAAATGCTTACAACATATATCACATTTATAAAACTTCTTTCCTTCAGTACCTATTAAAGTTTCAGAAATAGCTGAACTGAAAGTCAAGCTGTCTCCAAATTCCTTCCACTTTTGGCCTTGTTTCTCTGGTGGAGTCCTTTTCTTCTTGTCTCGTTCACACAGGGAACCTTTCTTCACTGTATCTGCCCTTTCATCTGTTTCATTTCCCCACTGACTTGCCAAAACTTGCCATTCACACTCTTCTTCAAAATCAAGGACCTGGGGAACACTTCCTTGAAGTCTTTTTGATGTTCCTTTATGAGAGTCTGCTCTTTGAGAACTACTTGGCTTTGATGTCACCTCCTCATTCTCAGTCATGGTCTCCCATTCTGGTAAAAGGAATTAAAAATGCAAATGTTACCATGTCCCTGTGTTTGGAAGAATAGGATCTTCAAATGACTTTAAAACATTCTAGGAAGGCACACTTTAATATGCATACAAAAAGGAGAAACTTTTCATTAAATGAAGGTACAAAGAATAATGCTACACTGACAAGATGTTGTAAATGGATTAACATACAACTCAGGTTGAGACATTTTTAAGTGCTTTGTCTTCAGGAAGCAGATGGAAAAATACAAATAATGCTGAGAAAACAGAAGCAAGGAAAACCAGAGAGAAAACATAGGATCTTATGGAGGTGGTTCATATCTAAGGAACTTGGATAGAAGAGCAAGAACCATTTGTATTACAAGTAACTTTCTTTTTTATTTTCTTCATGTTAGAAAGATGGAAACTTTAAGGGAAGGAAAATATATGTAAGGACTCTGAAAGGCAATTTTTAATTTTTGAAAAGTCTAAGGCATGAATACTTTTTAACTGGTTGAAAGCAATTAACCAACAGAAAAGAAATCCATCGAAAAGCAACTTAATCCTTAGAATTTATATATAACTCCTACTCCGTTTAAAATTAAGAAATGGAAAATTTTAAATTCATTTTAAAAAGGTCTGTTATGAACTCCCTTAATTACACATAAAACATAAAAGAAGAAATACAGAAAGAAAAGGGAAAATAGAATAAAAGTATGAAAACATCTGTAAAATGATGAGGCTGAACTAATCTCCAAGGTTCCTATCTACTCCAATAGTCTCAAATATTTTAAAATACGAACAGTATGAAAATGTTTTGGAAGTTTACTTTTTTTTTTTTTTTTTTTTGAGACGGAGTCTCACACTGTCGCCCAGGCTGGAGTGCAGTGGCCGGATCTCAGCTCACTGCAAGCTCCGCCTCCCGGGTTTGCGCCATTCTCCTGCCTCAGCCTCCCGAGCAGCTGGGACTACAGGCGCCCGCCACTTCGCCCGGCTATTTTTTGTATTTTTTAGTAGAGACGGGGTTTCACTGTGTTAGCCAGGATGGTCTCGATCTCCTGACCTTGTGATCCGCCCGTCTCAGCCTCCCAAAGTGCTGGGATTACAGGCTTGAGCCACCGCGCCCGGCATGGAAGTTTACTTTCAAACTACCCAAGTGTGAGAGAAATTATGAGCCAGTTCCCCCAAACTGTCTAATAAGTAAAGTTATGTGAATAACAGTAACATCATCTTCTCTTTGCATAACAATACTTTTCTTCTATCTAAACAGCGAGAGAAGAGTGCAGCCATTTTATTTCATTATACATTTCTTTAAGTTTATGAGACGATGAGGATGGCAAAGATCCAATAAATATTAACTTGAACTACAGACATTCTTAGGTCAGGCCCTCATATCTCATCTCAACTGCCCTTCTCTCTAGGACTCAGGCAGGACTGCCAATCACACTACCCACACCACCTGGCTGCAGGCCTGGGTATGTGTCTTAGGCTTATCCAATGCTGGTACTTCAGTTTCCTTATTCACAGTGAGGTTTCAAACATAAGGAGAGGCCAGGCACGGTGGATCATGCCTGTAATTCCAGTACTCTGGGAGGCTGAGGAGGGCGGATCACTTAAGGTCAGGAGTTTGAGAACAGCCTGGCCAACATGGTGAAACCCTGTCTCTACTAAAAATACAAAAATTGGCTGGGCATGGTGGTGCACACCTGTAATCCCAGCTACTCAGGAGGCTGAGGCAGGAGAATCACTTGAACCGGGGAGGTGGAGGTTGCAGTGAGTCGAGATCACACCACTGCATTCCAGCCTGGGTGACAGAGCAAGACTCCATCTCAAAACAAAACAAAACAAGAACAAAACAAACGAAAAACAAAGACAAGAAGAATGCTGGTGGAGAGGGGGAGCTGCTTCTATATAATGAAACAAGCTTTAAGGAAATGAAGTGTTACAAGTAGTTAAACTGAGATGGAAAATGGTTAAGAAATTAGGAACTCTTATATCAGTAGCTAATTAGCTGGTTAAACTATTTAATATATGGGCCTCTTCAGCTTTTTAAGACTTTGTAGAAAAATGTCAGAATGATAGAGGGAGCTGGTTACTTTCCATAACGTTTGGTGAATGAAGCCTGCAAGAAAGAGACACAGGCTTTCCTACCTCTAACACTCCCCGCCTTCCATCTGCTCCAATTCATGCGTACCTTCTGTCAATGATCTTTCCAATATGTAAATTTGATCATGTCACTTACCTGCTCAAAACACCTAACTCTTCATTGCCTACAGGACAAAGCAGAAATAACCAGTGGAGTCAAGGGGATATCTTCACCCACTGCCTATTTTTCTGGTATCTATTAATGTCAGTACCTCTTACGCCCCTAGACTATAGCCACAGTGAACTACATGCAGCTGCCCAAACATGTCATTTCTTGTCTATCACTGCCCGTGTCCTTTCCTCTTCCTGAATTGCTCTTCCTCTTTCCAAGTCACCATCCAAGCCCGTACCTATACCCTTTAAAACTAAGCTCTAAAGTCACTCTCTGGACATTAACATTGATCTTAAAAAAATAAAAAGGAGTATAAACGATACTACCAATGATACTGTGCCAATAAATTAAGACAACTTAGAAGAAATAGGCAAATTCCTAGAAAGCCACAAACTACTAAAACTGACTCAAAAAAAAAGGAAAATCTGAGTAGGTCTTTCCCTAAAGAAACTGAATCAGTAATTAAAAAAAAAAAAAAATTACCCCCACCTCCTCCCCACACACAAAAAGCCCAGGCCCAGGTTGCTTCACTGGCAAATTCTACCAAACCTTAAAAGAATACCATTTCTTCACAAATTCTTCCAATAAACAGAAACATTTCCCAACGAATTCTATGAAGCTGGTATTGCCCTGATAGCAAAACCAGACATAACCATCACAAAAAAGAGAACTATAGATAAATATAGCTTATGAATACAAACATAAAAATCCTCAACAAAATGCTAACTAACCAAATCTAGCAGGACATAAAAAGAATTATACACCATGACCAGGTGAGATTTATCACAGGAAAATAATGTTGGTATAATACTAGGAAACCAATTAATGTAATACACCATATCAACAAAATGAAAAACAAAAACCACATCATCATGTCAATAGATAAAACACTCCATAGTGATAAAAACACTCAACAAAGTAGGAATAGAAAGGGATTTCTGGCCAGGCACAGTGGCTCATGCCTGTAATCCCAGTGCTTTGGCAAGCCAAGGTAGGTGGATCACTTGAGGCCGAGAGTTTGAGACCAGCTTGGGGAACATGGTGAGCCCCTGTCTCTACAGAAAAAAATAAAATAAAAATAAAAACAAATAATTAGCTTGGTGTGTGCCTGTGGTCCCAGATATGTGGGAGGCTGAGATAAGAGGATTAGGAGGATTACTTCAGCCCAGGAAGTTGAGGATGTAGTGAGCCGTGATCACGCCACTGCACTTTAGCCTGGGCAACAGAGTAAGACCCTGTTGAAAAAAATTAAAATAAATTATATTTCATGGTGGAAGACTGAATGGGTTCTCTCTGAGAACAAGAAAAGGCTATCTGCTCTTGCCACTTCTAGTCAACATGTACTGGAGGTTCTAGCCAGATCAATTACGTAAGAGAAAGAAAGAAAAGGCATCCAGATTGTAAAGGAAGAAGTAAAATTATCTCTATTTGCAGATGACAAAATCTTGCATATAGACAATCCTTAGAAATCACTAAAAAACTATTAAAACTAATAAATAAGTACAGCAAGATTGCAGGATACAAGCTCAACATATAAAAATCAGTCTGACATGGTGGCAGACACCTGTAGTCCCAGCTACTCAGTAGGTTTAGGCTGAGGAATGCTTGAGCCCAGGAGCTCAAGGTCAGCCTCAGAAACGTATAAAATCCCATCTCATTTTTTTTTAAAAAAAAAAAAGGTATTTCTATCCATTAGTATTAAATAATCCACAAAGGAAATTAATAAAACATTAATAATAGTCTCAGAAACAAGATCAGGATAAATTTAACAAAAGAAGTGAAAAACTTATATTCTGAAAACTACAAAACATTATTGAAAGAAGCTCACGGCTTAAATAAATGGAAAGAAACCTCATGTTCAAAGATTAAAAGATTTAACATTAATAAATGGCAGTACTCCTCAAATTGATCTACAGATTCATTGCAATCCCCATCAAAATCTCAGCTTGTTTCTTCAAAGATATTGACCAGCTGATATCAAAATTAGATGGAAAGTCAAGAGACCTAGAGTAGCTAAAACAATCTTGAAAAAGAACATAGTTGGAGGACTCACACGTTTTTATTTCAAAATGTACTATGAAGCCAAAATAGTAAGAGAGGGTGATACTGACATAAGGGTAGACATATAGATCAAAGGACTAGAATTGAGACTTTAGAAATAAACCCTCATATTTATAATCAACTGGTTTTTTTTTAAAAGGGTGCCAAAACAATGCAATAGGGAAAGCGCAGTCTTTTCAACAAATGGTGCCTGGGATAAATGGTGCCATATGCAAAAGAATGAAGATGGATCCTTATCTCATACTATATACAAAAATTAACTCAAAATGGATAAAAGACTGAAATGTAAGAGCTAAAACTTAAAAGAAAACATAGACATAAATCTTCCCGGCCCTAGATTAGTGACGATTTCTTAAATAGGACACCAAAAGCAGAAGCAATAAAAGAAAAAAAACAAACAAACTGGAACTCATCAAAATTAATGACTTTGTCCTTGAAAGGATACCATCAAGTAAGGGAAAAGTCACCAGGCCCAGTGGCTCATGCCTATAATGCCAGCACTTGGGGAGGCTGAGGCAGGAAGATCGCTTGAGGCCAGGAGTTCAAGATCAGCTTGGGCAACACAGTAAGATTCCGTCTCTACAAAAAATTTTAAAATTAGCCAGGCTGATGGGGTGCATTTGTAATCCCAGCTACTCAGGAGGCTGAGGTGAGAGGATCACTTGAGCCCAGGAGTTCAAGGCTGCAATAAGCAATGATCGTACCACTACACTCCAGCCTGGGCAACAGGGCAAGACCCCACAGAATGGGAGAATATATTTATAAGTCATATATCTGTTAAGGGACTTATATATGGAATATATAAAGAACTCTTACAACTTAGTAATAAAAAGACACATAACCCAGTTAAAATATAGACAAAGAATGTGAATAGACAGTTTTCTCCAAAGACATACATATAGTCAATAAGAACATAAAAAGTTGCTCGACATCACTAACCATCAGGGAAATGCACACCAAAACCACAGTGAGATATCATTTCAAACCCACTAGGATAGTTAAAATAAAAAAGATAATATCAAGTGTTAGGGATGATGTAGAGAAACTGGAACCCTTATACACTGCTGGTAGGAGTGTAAAATGGTGCAATTGCTTTGGAAAACAGTCTGGAAGTTCCTCAAATGATTAAATACAGAGTTATCATAAGACCTAGCAATTCTACTCCTAGGTAGAAATGAAAACTTATATCCACACAAAAAATTGTACACAAATGTTCACAGCAGCATTATTCATAATGGACCAAAAGTGGAAGTACCTAAGTGTTCATCAACTGATAAATGGAGATATATCCATTCAATGGAATATCTGGCAATAAAAAGGAATAAAGAACTGATACCTGATACAACATGGATAAGCCTTAAAACACTATGCTAAGTAAAGGAAGCCAATCACAAATGACTACATATTGCATGATTCCATTTATATGAAATGTTTCAAATACACAAATCTATAGAGGTAGAAAGCAGATTGGTGCCTGCTAGGACTGGATTGGAGGAATGAATTAGATGAAATGAAGGTGGACTGCTGAAGGGTTGATGAAATTTTTTTTGTTTTCTTTGAGACGGAGTCTCACTCTGTCGCCCAGGCTGGAGTGCAGTGGCACGATCTCGGCTCACTGCAAGCTCCGTCTCCCGGGTTCACGCCATTCTCCCACCTCAGCCTCTCGAGTAGCTGGGACAACAGGCACCCGCCACCTGGCTAATTTTTTTTGTATTTTTAGTAGAGACGGGGTTTCACTGTGTTAGCCAGGATGGTCTCGATCTCCTGACCTCATGATCCGCCCGCCTCGGCCTTCCAAAGTGTTGTGATTACAGGCGTGAGCCACCACGCCCGGCAGAAAATGTTTTTCAATTACTGTGGATGGTTGCACAACTCTGTGAATACACAACAACCACTGAACTGTACACTTTAAATGGTGAATTTTATGGCATGTTAAATACCTCAGTAAAACTGCTATAAATCTTTCCCTCCTGGTGGAGGAACCGGGAACCATCCATCTCCTCCTCCCACTGTCCCAATCCTTCCATCATTCCCAGGCTCCTATGGGCTCACATAAACTTATGCATACTTTTATTATACAGAATGTTTCCATTATAAGTGGAAATGTCTATCTCTCCAATTTGAATGTACTTTAAGGCAGGGGCTAAGCCTGACACAGGAGGTACTCAATATTTCTTAATACTTTCCTTCAAATTTTAGTCCAATCTCCTAAAGAAACATATACAAACATTTTACACACTGAAGTAGTATGTACAAGTTATCTGGGAGTATGCTTTTCTACCACAGTTTATCGATGCATGAAAATTGGGTACACAGAGTTGTCATAATATTTGATAGTGTCATAATATACTATTAGGTCAAAACACCATGCTCTGCTTAGTACTTTATCTTAGGGAATTTGTTTTGCCCAACTTTTAACCATCAAGTTACCTGGGACTATTTTTAGACATATGACTTTTATTTCCTCTTTTTGAACCATTTCTTTAATGTATCCCCCTCAAATCAGAGTTACTAAGTCAGTGGAAATAAACACTGGGCATCTGCTTGCCCAAAGCCCCAACATTGAAGTGCACGCTTTTTTTTTTAATTTATTAAAGTACGTTCAAGTTTCTTTTTCTTCAAAGAGCTGGAATAATCAAGCAACTACATTATTTTATTGTTTTTTTTTTTTTTTTTTTTAGTTTAACTCTTAGACCTATCTGGAATTTATTTTAGTGTACAGCATGAGGTATGGGTCCACAGTAAGTATGTTTCATAAAATTAGCCAATTAATCCATATAGTCTATTTTAAAATTTTTAGAAAAGATTGATTACCGAATAAATACCTTTGGAACTACTGAAAGTCACTTGGGTTAAAAAACAAGCTAGGAGGGTGGTGCATACCTAGAGTCCCAGCTACTTGGGAGGCTAGGGTGGGAGGTTTGCTTGAGGCCAGGAGTTTGAGGCCAGCCTGGGCAGCGTAGTGAGACTGCCATCTCAAAAAACAACAAAACCCCTCCACGAGATGTCTATGTCATTCTATATATCAAGATAAATTGATAAATATCAAGATGGATTAAAGCTTAAATATCAAAATAAAATGATAAAAATATCTTAAGAAAATACAGCTGGGCACGGTGGCTCACGCCTGTAATCCCAGCACTTTGGGAGGCTGAGGCAGGTGGATCACTTGAGGTCAGGAGTTTAAGACCAGCCTGGCCAACATGGCAAAACCTGTCTCTACTAAAAATACAAAAATTAGCTGAGCATGGTGGTGGGTGCCTGTAGTCCCAGCTACTTGAGAGGCTGAGGCAGGAGAATCGCTTTAACCCAGGAGGCAGAGGTTGCAGTGAGCTGAGATCGTGCCATTGCACTACAGCCTGGCCAACAAGTGAAACTCCATCTCAAAAAAAAAAAAAAAGAAAATACAGGTGGGTTTAAAAAATAATTTTATGAGGAAAAAGACCAGTAAGACCATACAGGAAAATACTCCTAAGTTTGACAACATAAAAGGTTTTCTAAGGCTTAAAAAAAAATTAATAATATTGAAAGGCAAACAAATGGGAAAAACATATGCAACAACTGGCAAAGCATTAGCAGTAGTTCTATATATAGCAAGTGTATGAATAGGAGTAAAATGACGAGTAAACATATGAAGAGACTTCAATCACACTAATAATGAAAACATGAAAAACAAACAAACAAAAGATGGTATTCTTTATCTACCTAGCAAAGATTTAATTAAAAGACTGACCAAATCATGAGCATATCCAGGGGAAATTGGCTTTCCTGTGTGCTCTTTCTGCGGAAGTTTAATTCAAGTATCATTGGTAGAAAATGATTTGCGAATATGTATCAAAGTATAAAATCTACAGACTGTTTGACCCACCACTGCCACTGCTGAGATACTAAAGGATACAGTCTCAAAAGTGTGAAAATATACAGTATAAATTATTAAAGACAATAAAATAATAAAGTTGCTAGGTACAAAATTAATATACAAAAAAACAGTACTTTCATATATGCAAATGACAATTAGAAAATATCAGAAAAGACTCCAATTCCAAAGAATAAATATTACCAGAAATATGCAAGATCTAGACGATTTTAAAACATGCCTGACACATACAAAGGCAGTACAGAAAAAATGGAATGTTATGTAATGTTCTTGAATAGAAACATTCAGAATCATAAAGCTGTCAAAGTAAAGCATGATACACGGACCATGCAATACTCTGCAGCCATTTAAACTGATACTTTAAATCTGTATTTCAGTCAAAATTAGTTCCTGTGACTGATTACCCAATTCTGAATGTTGATTTCTCCAAACAGAATTCTACACTTTTCTTCAAGTTCTAGTATAAATGCTACCTCTTTTATGGCCTTTCCTAATCCCCAGGAATGAAACTTATTGCCCTGTTTTCTGCACTTCCATCACACCAGTTTTATGCCACTCTTGTACCAATTATTTTACTCTGTCTTGCATATTTAATATTCCTGTAATAAACTCCTAAACCATCGTAAGCTATTTAAGGGCAGAATCACATCATTTTCACAGCTGTACCACGATAGGTATTTAATGTTTGCTGGAAGCAAAAATGGCTAACAAAAATTTTTTAAATATTCTTTTATTATTTATCAAATAAATCTATTTTAGAATATATAATTTTAAAATTATATTAGCAACAATTTAGAATTGTGGGATTACTCAGTACAAATGAAGGCAGAGCAAAAGGAGTGTTCTTATACATTACTGCTAAGAACAGAGAGAACAGGGATCGCTACAGAAAGGAATTTGGCAATATGAAGCAAGAGCCTTAAAGCCATTCAAACACTTATGCCCAGTAATTGTACCTCTAAAAATAATACAACATTTTAGAAGGCCTTAGGCACAGAGACAGATGATTATTATAGCAATTATTCAAAATAAGGAAATGGCTGACTGAATTATGGTACAAATCATATAGCCAATATAGATAATAACTGCAAAGAGTTTGTAACATGTGAGAACACACACAAGGAAAGCAAGCTATCAAACTGTACACAGACACACAAACACACACATTTGAACAATGTAAAAAATCCCTCAAACATATAGAAAAAACAGAAAGGTAATATATCAAAATGATAATAGTTATCTGGAAATAGCGATGTTAAGGAAGGTTTTTTTTCTTCTTTGTAATATTTGGTGTTTCCCAAAATAGTATACGCTACTTTTATAATCAGAAAACAAATAAAGGGAAAATAAAGGTAAGCATCACAGAAAGAAGAGTCCTTACCTAGAGAGGTCACATTTCCATAATTCTCCAGCATCACATCCCAGTACAAGGCCCTCTGGATTGGGCCCAGACATGCCCATTCCTCTGAAGTGAAGCATACTGACACCTCCTCGAACATCACCAACTCCTGAAATAACAGGTGTGTGTGAGATTACCAATGCCCACGAAGTTGCCTGTGGAAAGGTTCCCTTCACTTCTGGTGAAGGAATACACTGTGAGGCCGTGAGTGCACAATAGACATCAGGGAGACATAAGGAGATCACATGTAAAGTCTGTCTTCCAATAGCATAGACCTTGATTTAGAAATGGGAACTGACTGGACATCGAAGGACAAGGATGAGAGAGGGCACTTCAGCCAGTTAGGCTGTGCAGTTGGGAAGGAAAGAGGATGCAAACCTTACCTGGGGCTGGGCTGTTAGGAGCATAAGTGCCATTAATTGATTTCTTGGGTTCTCTTCCTGGGAAAGGGCAGAAGCTTCAGGGGCAGGAGAATCTGAGGAAGGAGAAAAAGCTGCATATGGGACCTACAAACTTTTTCTGAGTGACCCCCACTTGCAGAAGTGGAATAACAAAAAGAGTAGGAATAAGAATGGATACAAGGCTGGGCGCAGTGGCTCACGTCTGTAATCCCAGCACTTTGGGAAGCCGAGGCAGGAGGATCACGAGGTCAAGAGATTGAGACCATCCTGGCAAACATGGTGAAACCCCGTCTCTATTAAAAATACAAAAAAATTAGCTGGGTGTGGTGGTGCGTGCCTGTAGTCCCAGCTACTCGGGAGGCTGAGGCAGGAGAATGGCTTGAACCCGGGAGGCAGAGGTTGCAGTGAGCCGAGATCGAGATTGAGATCGCGCCATTGCACTCCAGCCTGAGCGACAGAGAGAAACTCCGTCTCAAAAAAACAAACAAACAAACAAACAAACAAACAAACAAACAAAAAGAGTGGATACAAGATCAGAGGGGCCCAAGAAAGAAAAAGAGAACAGCAGGAACAGCAGAAAGAAATTGGCACTGTAAGAGATTCCTAGACAGGGTAGCAGAGGAAGCAACTTCCCAGAAGTAGGGGGATGAGCCACAGAAAGGGTCCTGGAACAGCCCAAAGCCCAGAGCACTGAGTAAATACCATGCTGAGGATCCTGGAGGTTGAATGCCACTAGGTCAGTAGGAGGATGCGGGCAAATTTCAGCTGCTATGTGGCTGCCAGGAAGTACAGGAGGAAGTGTTGTTCCTGGGGCACTCACCGCCTTCTGGAGAGTGTCCTGATCCTGGACAAGGACTGGAACCTGGAAACAAGTAAAATAAGCTGGTTCTTCTTGTTCCTTAAGAAAATGGACTCACCTAAGCACTGTGGACCTCTTTCTGCCCACAATCTAGACCTGTGAGATCAGAGAGACCCACCTCAAGTATGGAGCATCAAAACAGCAGTAAAGCTTTGCATTGAGAACAATGGAGCTGCCCTCGAGCCCCACTCATGGCACTGGTGACCTCTCCCAGAGGAGACTGTACAGAACGGTGGGAACAGAAGCCAGACCTGGGTGTGGGTTAAGGAGGGAATGGGAAGTAATAAGCAGTAATTAAGAGCATGGATTTTAGCTTCAGACTTAGTTTTAGACTGGACTTCAGTCACATCTCTTCTACTTATTTACCATCTGCTTATTGACCCCTTTACCTAACCCTTTGTGCTCAAATACAACTAACACTAAAATTGGCACCAAGGCACTTGGGTTTTGAGGCCAGCTAGACGTCTGCCTCAGTTTCCTTCTCTCTCAAATGAGGATGTATTAGTAATTTGCAATGAAATATATAGCTCTAAAATTTTCCACATTATGATTAAAACAAACAGGCCCATCCTTACTGCCACACCCAAGTTTGGGTTATGATTCAGATGTCTTATACAGAAATGTTTTTAGTGAGCTACAGATGTACAGAAAGAAATCTCACACACATGAGATGCTATATTAAGATTCCAATCTAATGGTCAAGGATATAAATCTTATCAGAAGCAAATATCTTAGCGCAGTCCCTTGGCTTGCAGATCCCTAGTAGGGCACACAAGAGATCTTACCAAGATTTGGAAAGCTTCATTCTTGTTATACTACTGCCATTTTATGTATGTATGTATGTATTTAAAGACACGATCTCACTCTATCACCCAGGCTGGAGGGCAATGGTATAATCATAGCTCACTGCTGCCTCAACCTCCTGGGTTCAAGTGATCCTCCCACCTCAGCCTTCTAAGTAGCTGGGAGTTCAGGCACTCGCCAATACACCTGGCTAATTTTTAATTTTTTTGTAGAGATGGGGTCTTCCCATGTTGTCCAGGCTGGTCTTGAACTCCTGGCCTCAAGTGATCCTCCCACTTCAGCCTCCCAAAGTGCTGGGATTACAGACATGAGCCACTGTGCCTGGCCTGCTATTGCCTTTTATACTCTAGGTGTTCATTACCATTCCAAACAGAATTATAGAAACAATACATAGGCTTCTGTTTAGGGAAAAACTTTTCAACATTTCTTCTTCAGGTTCTTGATCCAAACTCAGCATTAGCAAGTATTACCCAGGGGACAAAACAGAGTCAACGTTTTTATGCTGCTTCTGAGTTGGACCCAAAGACCTCAACATAAACCCGTTTCTCTACAGACATATTCTATGGTCTGAATACTCATGGGCCTGCTTTAATTATCATTAGGGTTGCTAGTGTGCTATTAATTTTTAATGAAAATCACAGGATCACCCTCTAGCCCAGCCTCAATTCTTTCCTTCCTTTCATCCCAACACCCATCGCCCCTCTCTGCCTTTCTCACTTGTATTGCTGGTCCATCAAGGTCTTTCTGCAGCTCCTCTACCAGGGCCACAGCCTCCTCGCCACTTCCAGGGTGATGGAGCTGTACCCAGGTCCGAATCTCCCCAGGCAGGATGCTCAGAAACTGCTCCAGCACCAGCAGCTCCAGGATCTGTGCCTTGGTGCGTGCTTCTGGTCTCAGCCACCGGCGACAGAGTTCCCTGAGCCGGCTCAGGGCCTCCTGGGGTCCAGATGTCTCATGGTAACGTAATTGTCTAAAGTGTAGGTGGGAGGTCTCCCAAACAGAGGAGCTGCTTCCTTGGAAGCTGGTTCCCCATTTCCAGGTATCATCCTTCCCCTTCACAAGGCCCTCTTGTCTCAGAGCATTGTGGGCCCAATTTTCTCTTGTCATTGTTGTTTTTTGAAAAAGGCTCCTCTCCAGTCCAGGTCTCCTTAATGCTTGACTTCTTCCTTAGAGCTTGGAGAGTATCATCTACAAGATCTCAAGAAATCATTGTTAAAGTTAGCCCAGAGAAACAACTGAGCTTTACAGGCCCCAGTCAGCTCCCCGTAATAGAGAGAACCTTTGTCAGTACAAGGTTCCAGGTTCTAGAGAGTGCTTCCTCTGACAGAAACCCCCTGCCTAAGGCTCTGGGACACAAACACTCATGTTACCTGCACGACTGCTGAAACCAAACATATGAACTTCCTTTGGTCTTTATTCATAGGATCCCTTCATCTAATTACAATAGACTCTTTACCACTCTAACAATGAGCACCTGACTACTCCTGTGCAACCTGGAACAAGTAACTCACTTCTGAACCTTAGTTTCTTAACCTGTAAAATAGGGGTAGTAATAGTCCCTACCTCTTGGGGTTGTGATGAGAATTTGATGTATAATACATTTCAAGTTTTTGAACAGTGCCTGGTATATGGGTTTAAATGTTACTTATTACCCTTTCGTAACTAGCACTCTTTCCTGTGTTCCGCAGAGTTAATAAGTAATCATTAATCATGATACATATGAGATAAAATCCTAACCACCTCCTCAATTAACAAAGAAAGGATGAATTAAGTTCTGTGTAGTTTTGCTTTATATGCCTTTAATTCTCTGAAAATTGTTCATTCTGTTAATCAAAATATTTGGATAAATTTCCCATTTTTTCTTTTCCTTTCACATCTAGTCCCATAGATGGATAAATATGAATAAGGTTTTATTATACAGAACTTAGACTTGCTCTCTAGAAGTCATCTGCTCTTTAGAAATAACACATTTTTCTAATTATAAAACTAAAAATTTATAAAACCAGAAAACACACAAAACCAGAAAACAATCACTGCTATTATTCTGAACTATGTCCTTATCACAATTTAATTATCATAGATTAATTCTAACTTTCCCTAATTATTAATAAGGTCACAATGGCTATCCTTGCTAACAAATTTTTAGTTACATCTCTGCTTATTTCTTCAGGATAAACTCTTAGGAGAAAATTGTTGGGCTAAAGGGTACAAACATTTTTAAGCTTTTAAGGTTATAATAGTTACATCACCATCAGAAAGCATATGAAAGCATCCTCTTTATTTGAACACATAGACCCTTAAAGACAGCTTGTTTATAACAAATAGGGGAGTCAGAAATATAAACATAATTTCAATGTAATGTTTAAGTACAAGTAATAGGAGAACATAAAACTACAGAAAGGATTCACGAAAGGTAATTTTTTTTTTTTTTTTTGAGATGGAGTCTCACTCTCTCACCCAGGCTGGAGTACAGTGGCGTGATCCCGGCTCAAAGCAACCTCTGCTTCATGGGTTCAAGCGATTTTCCTGTCTCAGCCTCCCAGGTAGCTGGGACTACAGGCTCGCACCACCATGCCCAGGTAATTTTTGTATTTTTGGTAGAGATGGGGTTTCGCAATGTTGGCCAGGATGGTCTCAATTTCTTAACCTCGTGATCTGCCCGCCTCAGCCTCCCAAAGTGCTGGGATTACAGGCGTGAGCCACTGCACCCAGCCATGAAAGGTAATTTTGGACTGGGCTTTTAAGGAAAAATAAAAGGATCATTGGACTATGAGGAAAACCATTCCAGGAAGAAAGAAACTCTATTTTCAAAGCAAGGGAGGACACATAACTCTGTGAAGGAAGACCAGAGAAGGAAAGTGAACTTCAGAGGCAAGAGTGTAGGAGTAGAGCAGAGAAGTAAACAGAAGTTAAATTCTAACTACCGCTCTTGAGAGGCAGTATTCTGAGGAGATGATCCTGTCCTGTAAGTGCAGCAGTTTTACTTACATTTAAGCATTAAAAAGGTTTTACTTTACATTTTTCCTTATTTTTAAAAATAGTAATATATTCGCTTGGTTCAAAATTTAAAATTATAAAATGAATACTGTGTAAAGTTTCCTTCTCCGTTAGCTTCTTATCTTTCCAGTTATTTCTGCATATGTGTGTGTACATATATCGTTATCTAGTTCCCTTATTTTCACAAATGGTAGGACACCATGAATGACATGCTACATTTTCCTCTTCTCAATAATACCATGTCTTAGAGATATTTCCTGTCAATACACAGTCCTTCTCCACATTTTTATGGATGCATAGATGTATCATAATTTATTCATGCCAGCACTGATGGTTTGTTTGGGTAGTTTTCAATCATTTCTTATTACCAACAATATTATCATGAATAATCCTGGGCATACATCAGTTTGGATGTGTGTAGGCATATATAAGAAAAATTCCTTGAAACAGAATTGCTGAGTCAAAATGTATATGCATGTATAATTCTGATACTACCAATTTGACCTCATTAGGACTGTACCAATTTATAATTTATACCTCCATCAAAAACAGTTGTATGGGAGTGCCTTTCCTCACTTTCACCAATACGGTTCTCAAAGTTGTGTGCTCTTTGCCAAATTTTTAACTTCCATTTTGAATGAATTAATATATTGAGTCACTTGTATATTTTTTGAAGTAACTATTCATATATTTTGCTCATGTTTCTATTGAGGTATTGGGTCTTGTTAATTTGTACACACTTTTATCACAGGAAAATTAGTCCTCTGTTTACAATGGCAGCTGCAAATTTTTCTCAGTTTGTCAAGTGTCTTTGTGACTATATGTGCCATGTGACTTTGCTTAAAGTGTTTTTTGCCATGCAGTCAATCTTTTACGACTTCTGGGTATTGTACCAAAATTAGAAAGACCTATTCCACTCCGAGCATGAGGAGAGTCTAGTTGTGTCAGGATTCTATCAGTGAGGAATGGTGGGGGTGAGAGGACTGGATATCAAGAAAGATCAGTTAGGTTTTTGTAATAAACACATGACTTAAGTTCTAAACGAAGTAGGAACTTACTCATCCCCCAGTAGGGATAAGATAATTGAGAAAAACTTGGCAGTCCTTGGTAACTGATCTGGGGGTAATGGAAAGGAATTTTTAAAAAGAATTTCGAATAATTTTCAAATAATATAAAAATAACAAATTCTTAAACATACATTTTATTTGCGTCTCACAAAAGGTTTTCAAGGCAGAAGTTGAAAAGAACAAAAGGATCAGAGGAGCGAATCCACTCAAAGCCACTTAGCTAGTTGAGATATGGGAGCAAATTCTGAATTCAGCGATTCTAATTCCAGAAGTCCAAAACAATTCCATCTACGAAGAGACTTATGAAACCCAAACAACAACTGTTCTAAAACAACGGTTTCCAAACACCAGTCCACGACAAAGCTTTAATCTGGCAAGCTGCAAAAAGAGAAAACCAGTAACAATCGTCGCTGACAGGTTGGCAATGAGTGTGCGCGTGTGTGTGTGTGTGTGGGTGTGTGTGCGCGCGCGTAAGGCCAGCATTTATTCTGAGTTTACGGTCTTAGTACTTTGGGTGAAAATGTATTGCCTGAAGTAATGGTAGTATGGGTGGTTTCAAGTTTGATTTTTAAATACCATTATATTACAAAACTAAAAGACTAAAAAAACTAAAATTGTTCCATCCCTTAAAACAAACAAACAAAAATCCGTCCTCAGGAGTCTGGGCGCCATGGGTATAGGGAAGGCTCAGAATGTTTCTGTGCATTAGCCTCAGAGAAAACTGAGGAAGAGCAGAAAGGCCTGAGCTGGGGGCGCAGGCTGCTGAGGCAGCTCTTCTCAAAGCGCCAGTGGAGTCCGTTAGACAGGAGCACTCGTTCACAGACACACACAGACTCGGAGCTGCTGTCCTCAGTACCTCCTCCGGGCCGGCTGCGTGCCCAGCCGAGGCCACGACGTCGACCCCCAACACGGAGCTGGGGACGGACCGTGCCGGGGGTCAGGGCCCGGGAGGGGCTACCGAGGGCTGTGCAGTCCCAGCAAGCTCAGGCCCGCGTCCCGGGTCGCCTTCCCTGCACGCCCACCCGCCCTCGAGCCCACCTCGCTCACCGGGGGCTCCCGCTGCGGCTCCAGCCTTGGGTACCGCCGCCTCGGCGCCAGGCCGCTAGGAGATGACACAGGAACTAGCCCTTGCGGCAGCCGAGGCACAGAATAATGGCCGAGCCGAGGATACTGCGACTTCCGGTTGCACCGCCCCCCTCATCCCGGATCTCTAGGAAACCACATCTCTATGGTTCGTTTTTTTTCCTAGAGCTGGAGAAGAGAGGCGGAACTCCTGAGCCCTTGGGTACTACTATTCCTTACATCAAACAAGAACTGGCCGCTGTTTCAGACCGGAAGGGTGCAGAGATGAAAGACAGGACCCAGGGTCTCAGGATGCTTGTTGCCTCCTAAGAGAGTTGGACATTTCTGTTTTGATTTGCATTTCAATTGAGGTTGATAGGGAGTAACCTTCATGTCTGAATGATCTAGTAGGTGACTTTTCTGGTCTCTTCTTGAACCTATGCAGTTCTCATAACATTATTTCTCATAATAAATAATAACATGGCTTATAAATCACCCTCTTGTGAATTCGCTTACTGTGGTGTATCTCTTGCGCACATGATGACATATTGGAGCTATGATATTAAATAGTAATCAAGTTGAAGGTGCAAGGTAATGTGCAAATGGTAGGGACATCTCTCCCCTGAAAGAGGAGGTTATTCTAGCTGTCCATTACCCTGGGTAAAGTGAGGTATGTATAAAGGAAACTGGAACTCTGATCCTCTCTTTGGTCTTCAGTCTCTTAGGTTTGGACTTCTGGAATTGACACCCCTATATGGGACTATGGTTGGAACAAGTCTCCAACAGGGCAAAGGCCATGTCTGCATGGATCCCATGTATTTAGCACCTAGTACAAAGCTGAAGCCACATAGGTCGTAGATGAATGTTTATTGAATGAGCAAGGTTCTTGTTACTCTGTTTATGTTGTCGTTTTTTTTTTTTTTTTTTTTTTTTTTTGAGATGGAGTTCTCGCTTTTGTTTCCACGGCTGGAGTGCAGTGGCGCGAGGTCCTTGGCTCACTGCAACTTCCACGCTCCCAGGTTCAAGCGATTTCTCCTGCCTCAGCCTCCTGAGCAGCCTGGGATTACAGGCACGATGCCACCATGCCTGCTAATTTTTTGTAGTTTTGAGTAAGGACAGGGTTGTCACCATGTTGGCCAGGCTGGTCTCAAACTCCTGACTCTGGTGATCCACGACCACCTTGGCCTTCC